CACTCCTTACTGTGACATTCAGCTTGGATTTGGCTCTGGAGATGCCCAGTCCTACTATGAAAACACCTGAAATCTTTTTCCCAGGTTATTGTAGGCACACAAAGTTTGCCCTGACCCAAGGTGCCTTACCCTGGTTCCAGAAGCCTCCTCGGCACTCTCCTTCCTGCTCCACCAATGGCAAGCAGGGTGGGTCCTGCAGAGAGACAATTGCAACCCAGGGCCACTTGACAGGTTCCAGACTCCAGTGAGAGCGTGAGCCGAACTGGGTAACAAAATATTCATGACAAGGGAGTAAGTTTGGGGTAGAATAAGGAAGCTTCAAACTGGTGCGCCTTGGTGTGGGATACTTCCTGGGTGGCCATTAATGGCAACAACAAAGACAGCAACATCTTGGCGGGGTGAGTGGGGGGACCCATCAGCTCACACAAAGTGCTGTCCTGCCCACTGTCTGATCTGATCATGTGTCCTGCCTCTCCAGCCTTACTGGTATGACAACCCAGATCCCCAGAACCGTTCTCAATATGGATGATTCCGACTTCAAGCTGCCATCATTTCTCCAGATTAAATGCCACATTGTGCCCATTAGATTCAACATACTACCATGTATCTGTAATTTCCTTCCTATTTGATATAAATAATTATCTAATTATTTCAGTAACCCAGAGCCAAGTATTCATATACCCATTCTTCAGAGGAAGGAATAGAGATTCCTCTATTAATAAATCGCCCTGGGTCACAAAGCAAGGATACAAAATAGACTTAAAATCCAGGTTTGGGTGACTCCAAACTCCATACTCATGCCACCGCAGTGCCTGCTGGAGGGAAGTTTTCTGGGCCAGAGACTTGGGGAAAGGCAGGGATTTTTGCAAGTTGTTTCTTGGGGACCTAGCATAGAAGTATGTCACCAACTTTGTGGTTCCTGGACCACTTCCTGTTAAGTGGCAGGGTTAGGCAGGGTGCTGAAGATGTCTTTGTGCTCCCAAGCACACACAATGGAGGCAGTCTTTCCTGTAACATGTTTTATTTTCTGTAGAGAGAATTTTTTTTTCCTGACATCCACTTTGTTTCCAAAGCTTAGAACACCACCATCTTCTCTTTCAACAAGTGTAAAGCTTTCAGCAAAAAGTTTTTGGGTGCTCCACCCCTGTATAGTTCAAATGTTCAAAACATCTGCTTCTATTTTATTTGTTTGCCTTTAGCAAAACATTAAAGTGATTGTGAAATAAATAGGAAGAAAAAAATTCTTACTAAACCAAGAGAGCCAAGTACCTGGCCATCTGAAGACATTTTGTATGTTTAAGCATTTCTAGACTTATTGAAAATTTGCATGAAAACCCATGATAAAAATGCAATTGTAATACTTCTTAGAGCAATTCCTCATGATAACTTGGAAATCAATTTTAAAAGTAAAAAACTTCTCAGGATGGCACCTAACAAAGTCATAACACATTTTTTACAGAAAAATAACAGAGCCTTTGTACTCTGGATCTCTGCCTGAATGAATAAAATATAACCAAAAAGAAGAAGAAGAAGAAACCCATCTCTGCAGACATATTAAGATTGATAGGGGTTCAGGGCACAGATGAGCAGCATAACCGCAGTCTAACACACTGTGTAGTTGAGATTAGTCTTCTCCATAAAAGCAGCAGTGTTGAACAAGACAATTTCACCACCTGAAATTTTTTGATTTGTTTTGGTTTTTATTTTTTGTTTTGAGACAGAGTCTCACTCTGTGATCCAACCTGACTTTGAACTCACAGTCCTCCTGCCTCAGCCCCAAGTGCTGAATTTGTAGGCGTGCACCACCAAACACTGCTGAGATCTTATTTTATATTTTCTTGTTTGCTTACCTTTTATGATAGCTCATTTTGTGTGAGATAAAAGAAATTTACTATAATAAAATACATTATCTGAAGTGTATCCGCAGAAAGGTCAACAATGTGTCTGTTTGTTCAAACCCTTATCAAGGCATAGAGAATTGCCATCACCCTAGAATTAGTTGCTGTTCTGACATAGGAGATTAGTTTTTCCTGTTTTGAGGTTTTCTATAGACAGGATCACACATACATCATTTTTCTGTAAGGCTTCCTTGGCTCAGGGTAATGTTTTCCTGTTCATTGCCATCCATGTTGCATGTATCATTAGTCCACTCCTTTTGACTGCCATGTATTATTCTATTTTATGAGTCATCTACAGTTTGAAGTTGATTTTTTTTTTACTTGTGGAGTTTTTCTTGCGGCAGGGGGCGGGGTGTATCTTTTTGATGGACAGTTAGCTGTTTCCAGTTTGGGTTTTTGGCCAAATACAGTTGCTAAGAAAATTCTTGAACAAGTCTTTTTGTGGGCACATTTTAATTTTTCTAGAACAGATGGTCATAGGGTAGGTAAACATTTAGTTTTATGAGAAACTTCCAAGTGTTGTTCCTGAATGGTTGTACCCTTTACACCTCTACTCTCAACATCTGAGAGTACATCTTTGCTCCCACCAGTTGTTATCAGTGGCATCTCGTTTTGGTTTTAATTTGCATTTCTCTGATTACTGATGACATTGAGCATGTCATAGTTCTTTAATAGTCAAGTGTATATCTTTCTTTGTGAAGTGATTGTTGAAATCTATACTCATTTTTTAAAAATGGGTTGTCTTTTTATTATTGACTACCAGGTGTTCTTTACATATCCTTACACACACACACACACACACTCCCCCAGGGAGTGAAGCTAGTCACTTGATCTTGTATCTCTTTCTGCCCAAAATGTTGCTAAGTATTCTGCTTTGTTTAGTACTATATTCCCAGTGCCAAAGTTTGTCCTGGCGTATAGTAGGAGCTCAATAAATATTTACTGAAAGACCAATGAAAGAACAGATGAACTGACTTTTGGATTTGATATTCAGATACTATATTCTTGAATTTGGTGGCACAAAAAATGAAAATGGCAAAGGAAATAGAGAAAAGGGAAAGTTAAATGTTAATTTTGAACCATACAGTTTATTCGACCTGGTGCACCCAGCAGACTTTCGGGGGATTTGTTCACCCAAGAGCACCCTGGTAGAATATCTCATGGATACTGTAGTGTAAATTGTCCCCACTCATGACCTCTCCAGTGGAAGCATCACTGCTGCTTAACCCCTGCATTCTGTACTATGTCTCCACCACTCCAAGACCTTGAACTCACAAGGTCCTGACCAAATGTGTTTGATAGACTTTGAGACAATCAGCTTTGGAGGGTTTTAGGTAACATGATTGGTGGATCCCACGGTGCTTTCATTCAGCTTCATCTTGGCCCCAGTAATGCCCATTCCTGTTTACAATCACTTCAACATTCCTGTTGACAGTAGTGAGCTCTGCCTCAGTAGCAGGCCTGCCCCAGTGGTGTGTTCTGTCTGTCTTAATCCTCCAGGGAGCTCTTTGCCCCTAGTTTTGAAACCATTTCCCTGATCCCAACCATCTGGGTCTAGTCCCTCCTGTAGTGGGTCTACAGTGAATAACAGTCATCAGCATCCACCTTTGTAGAGAACTTTACCCTTTACAGAGTACGTTTGTATCCACTATCATGTGCCAACCTCCACATAGTCCTAGTTGTAGCCCTCTTTGTTTTCCTAAAGAAGATGGCAAAAAGGTGAGCTGACTTGCTCCAGAAAATACATTTTACCCTTCTGTAGCCAGAGTTTTTTTTTTAATATCCTCTAGATCTTGTTCAAAAAGTACTGATGATTTCTTAACTCTGGCTGTGTACATGTATGATGTTTAAGAGGCCTACAGATTCTTACACTTCAGAAACCTGGAGTATGTCTGTTAGAAATTCAACTACCATACTGTAGATATATATGTGGGTAATTGCCAACCTGTTTATTTAACCATGGTTGTGAGTTTTTTTACCCCGTAGATCATGTATTTTTTAAAAGTCCATCAGAAACTCTATTTTCTTAATTTTACCTTTTTTTTTCAATCAGACACATTACGTTACAATCAGAGATTAGAATAAGGACCAGATTGTCATTTCTCTAGGCTAATTTCATTACAACCAAATACTACAAACATTTGATATTTGAATTAGACTCCAAGCCTCAAAACTGATGTTTATTTCTGATGAATGATTCTGTTTGAACAATCAGAAAGTCCATATAGCCCCAGAGAAAGTGGAATCAAAGTTTAGTGCTTGTGAGGAAGTAGCCCTCTGTGCTCAGGACTGAACTCCTACTTAGTCCAGCTGTTTGGGTGGGAGGAACAGAGACACAACTAATTTTAACCCTTTACCCTGAGACCTGGGCTCCTCCTGGCTCCGTAGATGAGCTCAAGCAGCACACCCTAGGTTTTCCTCAGCTGCTAGAGTATTAGTGTTGTCTCATGTTCAAGCCCTTTGGAGTTGGGGAGAACATTCATTTATAGAAACAAAGACATTCTTCTGAGCACCATCTAAGGTGCACAGCTTAAAATGTCATGCAGTCAGAACTCACATAGCATCAAAATAATCACAGTTTTACTTTCGGAGGATCATGACAGATATCCTAATGAAGCATTGTTTCTAAATTAGCAGAATTAAAATTAGCAGAATAATAATTCTATTTGCCAATTATAAAAGTGGAGATACAGTTGAGGAAAACTCTGAATGTAAGTTGTTATTGCATTTATAATTTTAGTTCTGAAGCAGATTGTGTTGCAGGAACCAATGAAATATACAATACTTGAAAAATAATTAGTTCATAGGAACAAACATTCTTACGAATCACAGTAAGAGAGAGGAACAGAATAAAGAAAGTTGCTGTGCATACTCCCAGCTATGAAAACATATGCATGTAGCTAATGGCTCAGGGTAACCTGTGGAAATGAAAAGAAAATTTGTAACAGAAGGCACAAGATTAAGTCTTTCTTTTTTTAAATGTGTTTTGCAGAAGTTGTTACATACCAGCTATTCAATTACAAAGTTAAAATGGATTTATATTGTTCCAGTATAGAATGTGTATTTTATTAATCAAATATTACTCTTGGTCTTGTTTTTTAGGAGAACCAACAGAAATCCACCAATGTAGTCTATCAGGCCCACCATGTAAGCAGGAGTAAGAGAGGGCAGGTGGTTGGAACAAGAGGCGGATTCCGAGGATGTACTGTATGGCTGACAGGTATGCCAGACTGAGATTATACACACACACACACACACACACACACACACACACACTCACACACACACACACACTTTGTGTATTACATTAGCATATCATATCAACAATATATATACTTTAATTGAGAAGGGAATGTAATGTACAATTTTACGAAAATTAGTGTAACATATTGCATGCAGTACATAATTCATTTAACTACAAGGAGTGTGAGAGCTGTAGTAGAAAGCTTAGATGTTAGTCCTAATCCTACCATCAGTGAGAAATAGATTCAAGGTCTGACTCCAGGAATACAGCCTGATGAAGTCATCGAAAGCCTCTACTTGCCAATTCTGTCCTCTTTGGCAGGACAGGATGGGACAAGTTGCTTGTGACAGCTCCTTTCAATTCCAAGGAGTGCAGTAATTCTCATGTTCATCCTTAAACAGACATACCTGGAAGTGATGAGTAGGGCTTTCCTAATTAGATGAGAAGCATTTGGCAGTACATAAGGCTTTGGATGTTTAGAGATATTCTTCTTATTTTCTGATATTTTGGCATCTAAGAGACTATTTCCTTAATGTAAATAATCATACTGTAAGAATCTGTAAGAGAAGGAAAACTAGAGATTTCCACTTGGCTGAGCAGTGCCCTTTACCTACACATAAAAAAAACTCACTTCTACTGGTGAGCCAGTGATACTCTTTTCTAATGTTTTTATAGCTGCAGAATGCCAAAGCTAATGGTTAGTGACAGAACTAGAATTAGAAGCTGTGATGAACAAAACCCCTATCCTGAGTACAAAGTATATACTCAAGCTATAAAAATATATGTATGTAGCCAATGGCTCAGGGTAACCTGAGGTGGGGAGGGATTATATTAGGAGGGACAAGGCTGAGTCTTTCTTTTTCAAAATGTGTTTCACAGAAGTTGTTGCATATCAGCTCTGAGTACAAGATAGAAGACTGCTTCCTGGGAATGAGTCTAATATACCCTGGACTCATAGTGAAAAAACAAAATCCTTTCACAGACACTACTTTTCAAAAAGTGAGGAGCCCAATTGCAAAAATATGTTTAGCTAGGTTATGAAAAATGGTAGGTGTTATCTTCTCACCAAGACAAATGTATTTTAACCTGAGGAGAATTCTAAAGAAGAGGGCAGGCAGAGTCCTGCTTTGCATCTTTTATTGTTATTCTGAGTCTTTTTCCCGGCCAAATTAGCGTTTTTCTTTTCATGATTTTCAAGTTTCTTTATCATGTCTTTGTTTTCCTGGTTCCATTTGTACCTCCTCATCAAAACAACTTTCTCTAGCCTCTATGGTGAGGATAGACAGGGGGCAAGGAGCCTACTGTGCTCAAATACACAGTACTTCCTTGTCATTATTTCTCAGATGTTTTCTGCGACTCTCTCCAAGAGATGATTTGTAGCAGCAGGCACAGTTGTGTTCCAGAAATCTCCCTCTGGTTAAATGTTTGGTTTCATATGATGTTTACTCATGAACTTTGGTGTTGGGTCATACACATGGTCCATTTTCCTTAGTTGGCACTCCCTTGAAAAGAAGAAAAGGGAGGATGTAAAGGATATATTTCCTTTGTCTTTTTTTTATTCTTAAAAAATCCCGTTGTTATAATTTACTTTTCATTCTTATATTTCAAAGGTAAGCTATTGATCAGAAAGACCAGAAGAAATAAAATGCTTCAAATTCAGGGATTCGGATAGAGCCCTGGCTCAACCTACATTAGCTTTGTGACTTTGGATGAGACAATTACCTCTCTAAGCCTCAGGTTCCTTCTTTGTAGAAGGAGCATTAGAATTAGTATCTGTCTGACTGAGGTGTAAGTAGAATGAAATGAAATAAAGCATCAATGCACTTAGCATGGTCCCTGGTCCATAATAAAATCCTTAGATAATGTAATTACTGTTAACCTTATGTGTTAAAATAATGGTGCAAATAGTCTAGTTAAATACCATTACTATGATTTAGCTTTTTGTTTTCTGAAAGCTGAAGGAACTTCTCTCATATTTCCGATGCAAGACAACATACTAGAGATTCAAGAGTCCCATTTTCCCTATCCCTCAACTGGACATAAATTCTAAAAGGAATTTACCACCCAAGTGAAACTGAATAACATAATCTGGCAACATATTAACATATTGACAACATCTTTTACAATGATTTACCAAAGACTGTGAACATCCTTAATTAGTCATTTCTTCTTATGTTCCTCTGTCAAAACCAAGGGCATAACTTGCAAACTTACCTAAAAATATAGTAGCTATTTATTTACCTTCTGTTGATTACCTTTTTTCCCCCATTTTCCTTTCGTCTTTGTCCTTTGTACCTGTTTTTCTCTTATTCCTTACCCTTTTTATCTTTTTTCCTCCTGCTGTCTTCTCTGTATTAATTTTTTTGGCCTTCTTTTCTTCCCTCCAAACTTTCCCATTTCCATGCTGGGTGTGTTTGACAGTGGCTTGGTCCCTTGGAATATTCTGCTGGTTCAGAGATCTTTAGGACAAGTGAATTTTAGAGGAAAATTTTCTAGGGTAGTTTAGATTGTGAGCTTATAAGTAATTTTGGAAGATCACATTTTTCCCTTTTCCCATATGTTCTCCCTTATCTAGAAATTGTAAAGTATATTCCTTTGACAGCATGGTGGAAGGCACATGGTAACTATATTCTCATGTAAAGATCCTATGGAGTTTTTAGACCTAAGAATGTAAACACTCCTAAGAGCTCTAAATACTTCTACAGCCTAGTCAAGGTGATGCTCCAACTTCAGGTTTCAAGAGTCATTTTCAAAAAACTGGGAAGCCAATAGAATAATGTGCAGGCTTTGATGGCAGATGGCTATTCAGTGACACCCACAAGGGAGGTGAGCTTGCCAGCCCCAAGTCCTTCCTCTGTCTACTCCACTCTGCTTAATTGTTACCATGTGAGAGACCACTGTTACCATGTCTTTGATTTTCAAGAGAGGCCAGAATCTGGGTTTGTATGTATAGCTCTCTAATCTTTAAAACACTCTGTAGGCAAAAGAGAACACACCAAGGATCAAATGTGTTATCCCCCCACCCTGGTCTGTTTATTTATTCCACTCACTTGGAAAGGCTAAAATCCTAATGGAGGACAAACAGTTATTTCAAAACTTGAAATAAATGCAAATAGTTGCCTTATAATTAACTTTTTTCTAGGTTTTAATAATTTTGATTTAAGATGAATCAAACGATTGGAATCGAGTTTATTTACATTAAAAGTACCAGATTTGGGAGGGGGGGCATTTAGCTCAGTGGCACCATGCCTGCCTCACAAGCGCAAGGTCCCGTGTTTGATCCCTGGTACCCAAAAAAAAGTACCAGATTAGTTCACTATCATCTTAAGCAACCAGAGGGAATGCCAATTTCTCTTGCCTGATCTGGCAGGTCTTTCCGGTGCTGGGAAAACAACAGTAAGTTTTGCTCTGGAAGAGTACCTCGTCTCCCACGCCATCCCATGTTACTCCTTGGATGGGGACAATGTCCGTCATGGCCTTAACAAAAACCTTGGATTCTCTCCTGGGGACCGAGAGGAAAATATCCGCCGGATTGCTGAGGTGGCCAAGCTGTTTGCCGACGCTGGTCTGGTCTGCATTACCAGCTTCATTTCTCCATTCACAAAGGTAGAAAGATTTGGTACTGCCTGCAATTCTTGCAACTGCAAAGGACAGAACTGGGGTGAAGGGGAAGGTGCACAGGAATATTGTATTTCAACTTCCTCATCGATCCCTCCTCCCCAATGTGCTCCCTCCTTTCCTCTGTTTACTGTTGGCTGTTTAAAGAAAATTCCTTCATCTCCAGATGTCTGGGCTTTGGTTGACATACAACCTTTCACATTCACAATTACAAGGGACGCTTGGTCAGAGTTGAAAGGAAGAAAAAGTTAAACAAGAACTATAAAGCCCTGTAATTTCAATTGTGTGAAAAAGAATGTTTAGCTTATCAAAGAGAAGAACAATTCACTGCAAGGCCATTGGGTTATATGTATTTAATGTGGCCTTCACTGAGGTGCTGTCTCACTCTTGTGTTAAAACTAGAAATTTCTGGGAGTTACAGATAATGTGCTGTATGATTTGAATACAGCCCATGAATGAAATCCTCCTGTGTTGCCAGTGCTGTACTGCTAAGAGGGGCTGTTTTTGCTGACTTCTCTGAAAGGCTCTTTTTGGGAGTCAGGGAGGTCTGGGTTGAGATTGAACCCAGGCCCATTGCACTGAGCTACATTCCCAACCCTCTGAATTTTTTATTTTGAGACAGGGTACTGCTAAAACACTAAATTGCCCCAGGCTGAGCTCAAATCGTGACCTTCTTGCCTTGGCCTCCTAGAGTGCTGGGATTACAGGTGTGCAACACTACACCTGACTGAAAGTTCTTGAGAGAGTTGTGTTTAACAGGCTGACATTTCTGGACTTTCTAAAGGGACTCTGCAAAGCATAAACCCCAGTGTTATCTCAAAGATATCAAGTACCAGAGCACTCCTGTTTTGTGATAAAGAAATTTTCCCTTAATCCATTTTCTGTTGCTGTAACAAAAGAACACAGACTAAGTAATTAATAAAGAATAGAGATTTATTTGGCTCATAATTTTGAAGGCTGAGAAGCCCAAGAGCATGGCACAAACATCTGCTTGGTATCTGGTAAGGGATTTCTGGCTGCATTTTAGCATGATCACATGATCAGATAAAGCAAGTGGCCTGTGCAGGATTCTTTTTCTTACAAAGTTACTGGCTCGGGGGGGGGGGGGTGCAGAGGAGGTCCACCCTAATGATCTTATTTAGTTTTAATTACTTCCCGAAGGGTCCATCTCCAAATACCAACAACATAGAAGTTTGGGATTAGGCTTCTAACACATGAAATCTGGGGCAAACGTGCAAACCTTAGCAAACCTTTCTTTACATTCTTAAACATACTGTTTTTCAGGATCGTGAAAATGCCCGTAAAATCCATGAATCAGCAGGACTGCCATTCTTTGAAATATTTGTCGATGCACCTCTAAATATTTGTGAAAGCAGAGATGTTAAGGGCCTGTACAAACGGGCACGAGCTGGGGAGATTAAAGGTATGAGAACTCTTATCCAGAATTGCCTGTGTTACATATTCAATTATTAAAATGTAGGGTTTTCTCTTTCAAGAACTGTCACCTCAGCCACAAAATGGACATGTGTATGTGATCCTTGGGTGGGGGTGTTTCAGAGTTTTCCCTCTTGCTTTTCTGTTCAATTCAAATCAGATGTAGAGGGCTTGAACTTTGCTAGGTATTGTTGATGATTTGGGGCTTTCTATTTGAAAATAGAGCTGTGGTTTTGGCTTTTTTGTTTGTTTTGTTTTGTTTTTGGTACCGGGAATTGAACTCAGGATCTTGTGCTTACAAGGCAGGCACAGTGCCACTGAGCTAAGTGCCCAACTCAGCTGTGTATTTTCCTACCTATAGCAAGAGGTCAAGGAAGGCTGTTTGCCCTTCTCTGTTACAATCAGAATTCTTAGTTAATACATTATTCCACTATGTGTTATGTCTCACTGATTAGAAAAAATATTCTGTTGGTATGGATGTGATTTTCCTGTTGTGCCTTTCAGGATTTACAGGTATTGATTCTGATTATGAGAAGCCTGAAACTCCTGAGTGTGTGCTTAAAACCAATTTGACTTCCGTGAGTGACTGTGTCCAGCAGGTAGTGGAACTTCTGCAAGAGCAGGTGAGTGGACTGGTTGTCTCTCTTTTATTTAGTTTAATAAAGTCATGAAAGATAATCTATGCTTCTTGACAAAAACATTTTTTTCAGTTTTCATTTGAAATTGTTGCTATTTTTGTTTCATTTCAGAGCATCGTACCCCATACAGTAATCAAAGGGATCCATGAACTTTTTGTGCCAGAAAACAAACTTGATCAAGTTCGAGCTGAGGCTGAGTCTCTTCCTTCGTTGTCAATTACCAAGGTAAATGGGCAAATTTGCCATTATAATGCATTACAGTTACTCATTATACTAAGAAAGGTATGAGTAAAGGCCAAGTAATGTTTATGAAGAGAAAAACACTTCAGTTTTGCCAATATTTTTCTCCTCTTCGTGCACATCTCTCACCATGAGTTGTCATAAGCCAGCTGATGAGTTCCTCATAGGGTTGGGGTGCAGACTGGGAGAGTAAAATCTGTATTTGCCTGGGACAGTTTCACATGTAGCTGTCTTACATCAATTATGCTGAACTGTGGACATCAGACCAATCATTATTTGCTGGCAGTGACTAAGAAAATAGTATGTCCAAAACTTGAGTGCTTCCTGGGCAATCAGAAAAGAGTTTGAAGAAGCAAAGTCATCCCTGATCTAAAGTGGTACAAATACCTCCATCTTTGCTTCTCTACACATTGCACTCTTCCTTTATCATCAACAAGAATCTAGCCTGAGGAAAGAGGGAGACAAATTTGGTTACATTGATTTTACTGCATGGAAGATGTAAGATGCAACCCTAGCAAACTGCTCTGCATGTGGCTTTTTATGGATCAGTGTTAACTAATTGATCTATACAAGGAGATCAAGTCTTCATTGGGACCCATTTTTTGTCCTTCAGAATTTTGGAGATTTTATAAGATGCAGGATAAATAGGAAACTTGCTTCAGCTATGAAGACCCATAATCTAATAAATCATGAACAGACCCCCTGGCTCAGTAAACTAATTCTGAGTTCCCCAAGCTCCAGGCAGACAATTACAATACAGTATGACAGTTCCAATAGCAGAATGGCCTACAAGGTAGAGAACTTCAAAAATCCAATGGTTCATTCTTTTGGTCATAGGGATGACAGGAATGGTTTTACAGCAATGAACCATGAGCTGGGTTTTAAAGAATTGCAGACATCCCTGCCCAGTACTAGCAGGCTATGAGTGGTACATGCTTCTTGCTTTCCTTTATTCGGCGGTATTGTTTTATATCAAGAGTCAGACCAAAGCCTTATGTGACTCAAATGGGCATGTCAGGTAGGAGAGTTGGGCTAGCATTACTCCTTTGCTAATGGCTGTCACTGAGGCCTAAGTCCTGGTCTGTGAAGTGGCAGAGTTCTGCTGAGTCATGTGCAGCTGAGGTCAGCATGACCCCAATTAAAATTCTTTCCCCTGAATTATTGCTTTTCACTGAACATGTGGGTTGCTTGCTAATTGTGCCTGGTGCCAGTACCGGTTTCTTCTATCCTAATAAGATAGGCAGTGACGACTTCGTGACAGCCCTGCCTGATGCCATCATGCCAGATGTTCAGCAGTATTTCACTAGATGCCTTCAAAGCTCCCTAAATCCCTATTCCTTCTCACAATTGTATTCAATAAATACTGGATGTGGTTGGGGGCTTTTGTCTTTGTTGCCATCAGCAGCACTGACCAGGTCCCAAGACCCAGCCTCTTCACTCTGAGTCTCATTTCCCGACTGTTGTTTAATTCTCTGTGGTGGCTAGCAGGCCAGGACCCACAGTACAGGTCCTGATAATGTTCCCTTCCCCAATCCCTACACTTGGCACCCAACGTGGGGCTTGAACCCATGATCCTGAGATTAAGAGTCTCATCCTCTACCCACTGAGCTATGACTGGGATTTTGCAGGTGGGGAGGAGGATGAGTAAAACACAAGCCTAAAATGACATGTGCATTTAAACTACACCTTGTTTGGTATTTTTGGCGAGTAGTGCCCAATTGGAAAAGAAGGAGGTAGGAGACCTTCCATGAGTATGAGTGTCCAGAGTTTGAAAAGCTTTCAGTATTTTGCTAATAATTTTGGATTTTGTCTCAGAGTTAGTGGTTTGCTCAGTTCAGCCAAATGACCAATAAGTAAATCTGGTAAAAAAATATAACCAAACCAGAATTTTAGTGGAAATAAAGAACAAATGAATGAACAGCAAATTTTCAACTCAGTTGCACATTATAGGAATAGATACAGCCTAAAATGTTCAAATATATCATCTTAATTTAGTGTCTTTTTAACACTCTTCTGTAGGAAAGTTCTAGGCTTAAACTTATCTGGCCCTTACATCACAGGTCAGCACAACATGTGGGAACACTTAAAACATAAAAGATTCTGCTCTCATCCTCTGGTCAACTGAATGAAAAAGAACTGTCCTGAGGCCAGATGCCTGAGAAATAGAATTTATGGAAATATTCACCTGCTTTTTTGTGTTTTGCAGCTGGATCTCCAGTGGGTCCAAATTCTGAGTGAAGGCTGGGCCACTCCCCTCAAAGGATTTATGCGGGAGAAGGAGTACTTGCAAACCCTACACTTTGACACCCTGCTAGATGGTATGTTTGTTGTTTCTTAGTCTTTAATATTAAAGCAAAAAGTCTCTTCTAGAAGTTTTCACAGGAACAGAAACCATTAATCTTCGATTTGTAAATCTTACTGCAAAAATATTTAGCCCATGTATAGTGTGCTCTATTCTATTATGTAAAAGCTTCCATTTTAGCATTCTTTTTGGGATTATTGAATATTTAAAACTAACCAACTGAAGAAAGAGGTTTTTTGATTCTGTTTCACCTTTGCCTGTTCTTTCGTGGTCCTGCTCTCTGTTCAGAAGCACTGTTGTAGTCAGAAGCATCACTGTCCACCAGCTGGTAGGGAGCACCTGGGACAACTGAGACACACTCTGCATAGGTACTGACTCCCAAGGCATCTCCTGTCCTCTACGTTGTCCTGTCAAGCAGTATCACAGCAGCTACTTCCCTTGGTGGATGACAGAGTGTCTGAGTTCCTACCCGTATGGGATAAATATTAGGATGGCTTCATCCACTAAACTCTAGCAGAGGACCAAATGTTAAGGCAGCCCTCTTGACCCAGACTAACGGCTTTTAGAATACTGATTTGGTCAATGAAGCATGAGTTATTCGGAAGAATTCCAGACCTATCTATGATTAATTCCTTTCTAGAACAAGCTTATCAAATATAACTCATCTAGTTCAAGGCCTTGGGGAATTGCTGCCAAGTAGAGAAGGGATGGTAGTACAGTGATACCAAATTTGTAATACTGAACAGGGCTGTAGATCTTGTAGGAGGAAAGACCAAATCAGATGTTCTTTCTTTGGAAAGATGTTCATGTTCTGGGCTTATGCCTCTGCCTGGGGAACGGGGCACAAAGGCAGAATGAGAACTCAAAGGCTGGTCAGAATGAATGGACCCTCTTCCCTTTTTCCTGTGGTGCAACTGTTCATGGTGCACAACCTGAGGCCTTCATTTCTCAGATTAAATAACACTCCATAAAATCACTAGCTTGCCTCAACAATAGTGAAGTTTAGTTTTCCTCAACAATAATATATTATATACAACATTTCTTTATTTTCAAGGCATCTTCTCAGGTATTATTTCATGTGATTCTTTAAAAAGTCCTAGAAAACAGACAACTATTATTGTCCACCTTACAGATGAGAAAACTTACCTTAGGTTAAGGGATTTAGTTCAGTTTATATTATTCATAAGTGAGGACCCAAGACTGAAGTCCAGAGTTTCCTGATTCCCTTCCCAGCATTCCTTCTACACCAAGCTGTTCTCCTGATGTCCTTTCCAATAGAATGTAAAACACCTGGATAGCTATACAGGGAAGGCTAACATTTATCCTAATGTTTTGATTTCAACACAGGCTGCATCTAGTAAATGTTGCTGAACCCAGCAGCCAGCCACGAATAAGGGGTTGACTATGAACATGCAAACTAGAGCTGTGGCCCTTAGACAAGTGAACCACATTGAAAAAGTGGGACCCATTACAAAGAGAGCTGCTGACCTTTGATAAGTATTTGTGCCATGAAGGAAGATACCAAGGTAGTGGGTATGATTGCAAAGGTCAATGTTGAAATCAGAGGTCCTAGGCCTGAGACCTAGGACTTTGGGTTGAGGGAACAGGAAACATCATGAGTACACAAAAATAGTTGGCATTTTGAGAAGGGAAAAAGCGAGCATTTTCCTGGGTTAAGAATTTATAGTTTTTGATGAATTTTTAAGAGAATCTATGGCACAAATGATGAAGAACTGCTGATGCAGCCAATCCATCTGAATAATTTAGGCAAAATCTTTCTCCATCACTCTCACACCATTTCCATTTCATTCATGGGCAAAACATACTGATTTTTAAATTTCTAATTTGGTGCTCACTAGCATGAGGTGGATGAAATGCTTACCATTGTTCCCACTTCTTGTGTAAGTGGTGTCCCCAAGCCCACAGCCTGGGGATATGAATGAGCTCACTTTCCCATTACTACTTGAGTTCCCTAGTTCTAAGTCCCTACCTGCTCATATGAAGTCCTAGTTCTTTCCATAGCCTAAGCCCAGGTGTCTGTGGGAGTCCCCAGGGTATGTGAGAGTCCACAGTTGTACAGCTCCTGCTGAATCACTCAGCCACTAAACGATTGGGCCCTGGTAGGGTAAGGGCAGTCTATGGACTATTTCTCAAGTGGGAAGGAGAATGTTCCCTTCCTCTGTGTTAATCTCAGTTGAAGACCCTAGGTGGTTGCTTGAGTCCCAAAGAATCACTATTGTAATCTATATGGGTCTCCTTACTCTGTGGCTACATCAGGAAGAGTTCAACACCAGATATTACACTGTTTCCATAGGCTCTATCCCTAAAAACATGAAGGCCCTGATTATGGTACTCTCTGTAAGACTCCTTTTTTCCTTATGAGAATTCTCTGCTGGCTGCACCACCTGCCTCTGCAACCAGAGTCCTCAATCAGGATTCAAAGCACTGTGCCCACCCCCAGAGCCCTCCTGAGTTCTTATGTGAATCAATTAATAAAACAAAGATCAGGAAAAATGGTGTCCTGCCTACCTCTACCACTCTCTGTATCTCAATTTGGTTTGGCCTAAGTGGAGGCAGAATGTTATAGTGGATAAGAGTGTGAGCCACAAAGTCAAACTGGCTGAGTTTGTATGTCAGTGATTAGCTGTGAACCTGGGCCAAATTACTTAAGTTCTCTGGGCTTAGTTCCCATATTTGTAATAGGAATGTTAAAGTACCCACTTCACTGGGATATTCAAAGTGTAAAAGAATGCCCTGTCCACAGTAAATGTTCCGTGAGTGTTCGGTGTTATCATGAACAAACCCAAATTGCATATAGTTAAAAGAACTGGGAGTCTTGAAGAAACTAAGTGGCTTACCCACAGTCACATCGGTTTGAAGTAGTGCAGATAGGAAGATCCTCAGCCCGCAACAAATTCTTGACTGCCCCCATGCGCCAGGGGTTGCCTAGCTGCGAGAGACGAAGTGGTTGTGAGGACAGATGTGTGCCTAATGGACAGCGTAGCTCCTTTATGAGCCCAAATACACTGGTTTCTTCACATCACATCAGTGATTGTGCAACTTTATTTTAAGCCAAAGAACTTTCCAGTGAAATCCAAAACAATATTTAGGTAATATATACCACAGATGGTGTGGAATTGCCTCCCTAGGATGGGAGCTTGTTCTGCTCCCTCCTGGACAGCAGGGTAGAGGGTATCTGGAGGATGCTGGTGGAAATACCCTGTTCACACCATGTCAGTCTCCTAGAAGGAGCTGGCTTAAATGATGGCTTTTGGGCCGAGGACACAGAGTGAAATTCTTAAGAAATAATGTGTTTATATATCAGAAGGTGGGACAAGATATCATTCACATAGATAGCATTTAATTTTAATCAATTCATGAAGGTTTGAGACACATCATGAAAAATGTGCAACATTTTGTGTAGCCACAGACACATGGCCACTTTTGTCCATCATCAAACAACTACAAATTTCTTGGTCACCTATAATCATTAAGCAACATTTTAAAATTCTTACCATGTTTGCTAACATTTTGTTAGTTTTAACTTTCTCAAAGGTTCACATTTTCCCTCGAATTTAAAAATAAAAATAGCTCTGTCTACTCAGTCCAAAAACAAAATGAGTAAACAAAAACCAAAAAACAAATCATTTGTTAGTGTTTACGTATAGTATGAATTACTCTGTATATTATTCAAGGACCAAGCTTCATATTAATGTATTATTTTACTTTATCTCTCACTGGAAATATAGTTGCAGGGTTGTCACAGACAGTCCGGTCATAAATGTTACATGTAGCTGGGTGTGGTGGCACACAACTGTAATCCCAGCACTTAAGAAACATAGGTAAGAGCATTGCTGTGAGTTTGAGGCCAGCCTGGGCTATATATCAAGTTCAAGGCCAGCCTGAGTTACATAGTAAGACCTTGTCTCAAAAAAATAAAAATAAATGTAACATTTAAATTTAAAAATGAAACACCAAGTGTGTGTTTACTGATGGATTCCAAGTGAGATCAAAACATGGCAGCCTTATGAAGCTCCATCGTTTAATGGCAAGTCTCCTGCAACTCTGACTTTCCAGGCAGAGCATGTGGGTGCTCCCTGGATACCACCAGCACTTACTAAGCACCAGTGACTCTGGAGTTTGAAGTAGGTAATCACCTTCAATCTTGTTTACACTACTGTGAAGACATTTTGTCCACATGAAGAACCAAGGGTTGAAAAGGTTCAATAACTTACTTGAAGTTTGAATTCAAATCCAGGTTACCTTGGGTCTAACATTTTACTCAAAACATCTGGGATTTTAGGGCGGTTCTGGGTAGTTTGTTCTGTACCCCTCCCAAAGTCCGATTTGGAAATCATTTGACAGTGGTTGTAACATTACATGTTTGCAAGAGGTAATTTCTTACTGGCATTAGAGATTAGAGATTGATGTATGTTATAGTGATTTTAAAACAATCATCTGAACAATGCTTTTGGAGTGTGTTCAACAATTCTGACTTTATCATGATTTAGTGTCACATACTCTATTTTTTAAAATAGCATAACAAAGAGTTTAGTATATTTGTAAGTTGTAAAGTGTCATAATAGGAACTTATTCTTTGATATTGTTCGCTTAAGATTATTTTTGTGGAGAGTTGAAAACTTGTTTCTAAATTGTGTTTGTATTCCTCCAGGCATGGTCCATCGTGGTATGTACTTTAACTTTCCAAGTAGTTCAATTATTATAATTAGATATGTTACATTAATTTAAAATGGTTAAAGATATGACTAAAAACAATCTAAATTAACTAGTTGGAATCATTATCAATTCATGATCCAACCAGTTATAGTAGAATATTACCACATTCTTCTATTGATTGGAGTCCAAATAATAGGAGATTTCTGGATCAGATGAAGCTCTTGTTTATAATGATGTGTTTGACCAACAAAAGTAAACTTGTTTCTAAATTATTATTGTACATTTTGTTCCTGAGTTCTTTTAAAATTATGATCCTCTTGGGCTGGGGATTTAGCTCAATGGCACCATGCCTGCCTGATAAGTGCAAGGTCCTGAGTTTGAGCCCTGGTACAAAAAAAAAAAAAAAAAAAAAAAATAGGATCCTCTCAAAATGACTGTTAATCCCCTTTCAGTTTCATAAAAATATGGAAAAAATTTTCTATCATATTTATAAAATATTTTTAACTGATGAAGGGATAAATCTATTTTAGATGCAATTTAAAGTAGGTTCACCTGGTTGGATTGTGTATGACTGTACTTCATTTGTTTGCAATGTGTGATTATGCATGAATTTAATTGTAAACTATCATAATTGATAGTTATAGAAATGAAAATAAATATATAGTTACTGTGACTGTTAGCTCCTACATTTTACCAGAATTAAGAGTTAAAACTCTAAAGATAGCATTTATCAACTGCTACTGTTTTCATTGTTGGTTTTCCTTAAAAAAGCCTACTTATGCACTAAAGATTAATTTAATGTTTGCTTAGAAACAGTCTATGCAATGAATGAATAGATTTACAAGGATAAAACAAAAGGTTTGAAAATTATTAAAGTAAAAGAAAAATTATTCAATTAACAGGAAGGTTATCTGTTGTGCTTGCCATGGTTAAAAAACCACCATACTCTTCCATAATGAGACATACTACAGTCAAATAAACAAGACAGTTCCCACCAGAGCTGAAACACATGAAAGAAAAGACTAGAAGTTAAAATCCTTGTTGAAAGCCCTTGAGGAGGTTCAGTGCAGTTAAACTGTTGGAAAGTTTTGTATTAGAGGAGTTGAGGAAGATGACACTGTTGATTTTTTATACCCTTGTGGAGCTGCAGTTGCAGGCATCTGAGATTAGTTGGCATTGTTACTCAGTAGAACTCCTTTCATTCAAGTTCCACAGCTTAGCTCCCTTCTTTTGACAACTGTCAGGGAGTGCTGCATAGTCACTGCTGATGTTCCCTCAAGGCCAAGTTGAAGGTGAGTCAGAGGCTACACTGGGCAGGAACACAGTGGACTGGAGGATGTGATTGTGAAGTGTCCCTTGGATTTCAATTCTGAATAATTTATGGAAGGCAGTGTTGCAGGCAGGACTAGGCTTCCTGCAGCCATCTACTCTACCTTTAGCTATGAATTTTGTTTTACTTTATTTTGGTCAACTCACTCTACCGACAAAGTCAAACATCATGGTCTTTGAGTACTGTTAGTAAGAAATCCAGAGAAAGCATGATTTATTCAAGATGTCATCAGCATCCTCAAAGGTGTTGCTCTTTGTTAACCTCTTTCCTTTCTCCACAGATGACTGGACTATGTGGTGGATTTAGTCACCTTCTAAACCTCCATTAATACAATGCTACAGTATTACCACCCACCAGCAACCTAGGGATACACATTATTTACTATCCCATTTTTCAAATAAGGAAACTAAGTTCAGAGAAGTTAATCAACACACTTAGTAGGTGAAAAAACTCCCACTTTGCAAAGGTGTTGGCTGTTCTAACTGCCCGTGAACTTTAAAACAGAGTTACGTGAATAACAGAACTCTTGTTTTTTGTGCACTGTATCTAATTGGTAGTTTATGTTGGAGGGTTTTATGATAGACTGGATTTATTTTTTTTGCAGCAGTTGTTATCTATATTCTGTGACAATCTTTAGGTCCTAGTAAATTTTGGAGAGTGTTCAAAATGTTCAAAGTGATATGGCTGAAAAGTTTCATTTCATAGGTGCTAAGGCAGAGTCTTATGTCCCAAAAGAATAGAATTCAGATCTTTAACTCTGTCACAGGTATTCTAAACGTTGGATTTGAAAGTTAGGTTTAAATGACTTTATTAATTTATGATACATTTCCTTAAATCCATAAATAACTGGATATGTTTTCTCTAGAATTCTCTTCTGAATCTTGAACTTTCCCTAATATTCTTTTATGTTACACATGTAACTAGTGGCTCTCATTTTCTCACCTGTAAGTACAACTAAAAACATACATCTTTATTGGCATGTTAGAGGGCACTGTTACAAAAAGTAATGGGGGACATAGTTTTGTAATTTTTTTCTTTACATTGTTTGGCATCAAAGCCAGATTTTATCCTTTTACCCTCCAAACTAAAAAGCAAATACATCTTTTAACTGTGGTATCTTACATTTACAAAAAACAAAAACCCTCTTATCCACTCAAAAAAAAGTTTCACTGAGGATGTTGCTCAAAGTAAAGGAACTTTTCAAAATGACTCTGTCATCACATCATTTGTTCTTACAGTTATTAAACTGAGTTTTAGTGTAATGACACTCCAAGGACTGGGACCCCTTGGGGATTGCTGACACTGAGGGAACCCCCCATAACTATAATTTTAGACTCTGTTTTAGGATTCTCCAGAAAAACAGAAATAACAACAGCCTGGCAAGTCCAAAATCTGCAGGGTAGGGAAATCCAAAAGCCATTCTGCTGTCTGAATTCCTTCTTCTTCTGTGGAGATCAATCTTTTTATTTTCAGGCCTTCAACTGATTGGATGAGGCCCACCCATGTTATGAAGGGTTATCTCTTTTACTCATAGCTTACTGATTTAAATGCTAATATCTAAAAATATCTTCACAGAAACTGTAAGAATAATATTTGACCAAAATTCACCTGGATCTGTGTCCTAGCCAAGATGACACATAAAATTAACCGTCACAGTTTTTCTACTTTTTTTTTTCTTCAAAGTTTTCCTGTTGCATTCTTTGACATCAAGCTGATTACATTTTATGCTGCTGAAGAAGTAGCTTCCCAGAACAGCACATTCCATACCTCCTGATTTGTCATACTGTATACTGAGAAATCAGAAAGCTCAGTTTATTCAAATTCCTTTTAAAGTAAGAGATTCAGCATGAAGTTGACAGGGCTCACATTCCAAAGAATGTGAATGTGTTTTAGTAAATGGTCTTATATCATTTATTACTCTTCCTTGGTTTTGTCTTGCTTTGAGATATAGTCTCACTCTGTTTCCCCAGGTTGGCCTCAAAGTCGAAATCCTTCTGCCTTAGTATCTCAAGTGCTGGGAATATAGGTGTGTGCCCCTGTGCCCAGCTTCCTCTGTGACTCTTTGACTCATGGTTACCAATTGTAGTTGAGCTAGCAAGACTTCTGACTCCCACATAAGTGGGATTACCAGTCTCCTCAAAAAGAAAGATGAAGGGCTGGGGATTTAGCGCAGTGGTTCCGATGCCTGCCTCCAAAGCGCAAAGTCCTGAGTTTGATCTCCAGTACAAAAAAAAAAAAAAAGAAATAAAATAAAGATGAAACTGTACCTGGAGGACAGTGAACATCAAGAGGACTACTGTTTGAAGTCCCACTGATTTTGAACCCTCTATTTTTTTCTCTTTCTTTTTATTTAGTGTGTTGGTACTGCTCAACATTATTTCAAGTTTCATTTCCAAGAAAAACTAGAGGTTTTTGTTTTGTTTTGTCAACCTTTATTTTGTTAAATTGGGTTTTTAAAGATTGTAAACTCCCTAGTGCATTGGGCTCAGGACCAAGCTTTAAAAACGGAACTCAGAAGGGAGTCGCGCCCTCCACACTTCCTGGGGCCACTCTTGTGATGTGAAACTCAGCCCCCTTCGCACATATTCTCTTCCTCCCGGCTCTGCTAGGCCCCCAAAACTGTTCATCCCAGGCTGTGCTGGGTCTGAGTCTTGAAGCCTTTCGAAGGAACTCCTTTGCAAGGGGCACGTGTACATTTGAGTCAGCCTTAGGAGACAGGACGCCTTGCATTTGGTATTCACGCATCACACGGGTCTCTCTGCAGACGGAGTGATCAACATGAGCATCCCTGTCGTGCTGCCCGTCTCCACAGAAGACAAGGCACGGCTGGAAGGGTGCGGCGAGTTTGCCCTCATGTACAATGGAAGGAGGGTGGCTATTGTACGTGACCCTGAATTCTACGAGCATAGGAAGGAAGAACGTTGTTGTCGTGTGTGGGGGACAACATCTACAAAACACCCCCATATCAAGGTAAGTTGCAAAAACTTTGGAAGGACTTTCTTGATCTATTGCAACTGAAGACAAAAATAATTCTTTTTTAACTTCTTCATGGAGGATTTAGGAAATCAGGCTCAGTGGAAGAATGCATTTCTAAGGTAGGTTTCGCAAGCCTCGGGAGGTCTCTTTTTAAAGGAGTAAAGAAATGTCTTTCTGTCTGAGAGCTGATCTCAATGAGCTCTTGAGTCCTGAGGTCCTGTGATGGCTACATCTTTAACTAAATGGGACCAAGTAGGTAATTTAGCCTGATATTATGAATAGAGGACCAAAGCCATAGCTGTCACTATGCACAGAACTGGAGCTGGAGCTTGCAACCCTGTTCGTCTTGAAAATGCTCAACAGAAATATTTTCACACAGAATGAGCCAAATGAACCACTGCAAAGAGAACTATGAGTTCATGCTCTGTAGTGAAAAATGTAGGCAATGACCTATTTTCAGAGAGCAAAAATCAGCACAGATATGACTGAATTCCCAGAGAAAAAATACTATATTTTCATAAGGATATTTTCAAAAATGAAAAATGTGTTCAGCTAGGCATGGTAGTTCAGGCCTGTAATCCCAGCTACTTGGGAGGATTGAAAGTTTGAGGGCAGCCTAGGTTACACAGTGAGACTCTGTCTAAAAAAAAACAAACAATAAGTGTTCATTTGAGGTCTATCCTACCTAAAGGCAAAATAGAGTAAACCTCCTCAGATTCCTGCCCAGCTTCTAACTGCTCTTGGTGATGGGCTGAGAGTGAGGGGATATTATGGAATCACTAGCTGTGGTTCATTTCCCATAAGAAAAATATGTGAAATTCTATCAAAAACTGTTCTTCATCCAAGAGAAGGGTATTAGAGTGGAAATGAAAATAGACATATACTACTAGTTTGACTTCTCAAATTCCCCAGCTGGTCTGTCAGCAAGTTCGCAAGTAGCACTGAAAGTAACCCAGTGCCCGGGGGGGCTTCACCAGCCTGTGTTGGATAAGGCTGGTCCTCTCTCTGGACCTCAGCTTCTTTAGTGACAAACACAGGGACTAGACTCAAAATAAGTCTAAGGACTTTTCCAGCCCGTGATTCCCACAGGAAATTATGTTTTTGTTTATTTGCTTTTCAGTGGTGAAATGTTCCAAGATAGGAAAGACCTCTGGCACCTCTTTAATCTGACCATAGAGTTCGATGAGACACAATTATCTCATTTGAGATAAGTACCTTTGGTCCAGATAAAGTCTTCTGTACAGTTTTTCTCAGAGTTTGTCAGACAGTCCTTGAAATTGCTGGATAGTGACTCAAGCTGAGAAATATGTTCTTGGCTTCAGTTATATCTCTGATCATTTTTTCTTGATCATAATCATAGAGGTTTGGGATCATATCTTCTCATAGTGACCCAAAGAATAACGGCCTTCCATTGTGCCACTTCAGATATTTCTCCCCTTTGAGTCTAACTTATGCATCCATGTGACTTGCACAGGAAGCTCTTAAGTGATTACTTCTTTCTATTCACCTTGTCTTGCAATGTAGATAAGCAATTGGAGTCAATTCTTAGTACAGATATTCCTTGTTTAATGACCTGTTTAGTGACTTTGAGATTTACTACCTGCCACTCAGACTTACAAACCATCTTTATTTTTCTTTAGACAGTTCTGAATATCTTATTTATAGAGAGTCTCAATGTCTTTTTTTGTTCAGTATACCTTGTTTATACAATATTGTAATTCTTTTTTGTTGTGGTAGTGGTTTTGTTTTGTTTTACGAAACAAAGTCTTGCTACATAGTTCAGGCTGGCCCTAAACTCACAGGGATCCTCCTACCTCAGGCATACACTACCATGCCTGGTCAGTACTGTAATTCTTGCCCATTGTACTGTTTTATGCTGTTATACATTACAGTACTGCAGGTAAGAGTTATGCAGATAAGCAAAGTCGTCAAGTTGGAGTTTTCTTTGACCATTTCTTTGTTCTGAATATTATAATGTACATATTATATACAATTCCTCACTTAGTGACCAATTCATTTAATGACCTAGTCACAGGACCAGAACTTGGTCATTAAATGTGGAATGACTGCAGTCAGGGAGAGTCACTCGTGACTTTGACAGTTGTTCTGTACCATTAGACCATTAGAGGGACTCTGTAAACATTCCCAATGAGCTAGTGGTGAGAAATGAGCCATGCGTAACCCAAGAGAGAAAGCCACTTACCCCACACACACTACGCCTTAGTTGTTGAAGGTGCACTTACCTGACAACATATGAGTTTTATTGGGAAAAGAACTCTTCATTGTGGGTTTTTGGCACCCGGAAATTCAGAGTCATGCTTTAATATAAATGTTTTAGAACCCACAGCCTTCCAAACATTGTTATTCTCAAAAGTAATCATGGGTCTCCTTGTATTTCCATGTGGCACTGGGAATGATATCTGCAGGGAATTGTCACAGTTGCCAAGTTAATGGTCTGCCTCTCTCCCATAGCTTTTCACTGATAGCACTTAACCATCTACTAAAGGACTATTTGAGTCACTAAATATGGAACTTTGTGATATGATCTCAGATGTAATAATAAAGAGAAGCAGAGGAAATGTGCAAAATTATATAATATTTGGAAAAAACCCTACTCCCTTTCATCCATGGCTCTCAAAGCTTTTCCAAGCAGTAATTATTTCTCACAATACTCTTGTGAAGTAGGTAAAAATCACTACTCCCTGTTTTATAGATGTAGAAATCAAGAGAATAAGATGGACTTCCCAATGAAGGATGGGAATGAGGTTTTATACTTTTTAGCTCCCGGTGAAGATCATTTAGTCAGAGCAACAGAAATACCTGGAGAGCATTACAAATGACCTGTGACTGGTTCCCACCCTCACAGATTCTGATGTACTTGGCTTGGGATCAGACTTGGAACTTAGGGGTTTTAAAGCTCTCCATAACTTGCACATGCAATGGTGGTTGAGAACCACTTCATTAGCAAATTTTTTGGAGCTGTTTCCTGTATGTCTTTGTCTGATATATCGACTACTAAAAAAAACTGTGATTCCAACTGCTGACCTACATTCCAAACCAAGATGAAAAGAAAGAAGTTGTCACTTAAGATCACATAAGAGCTTTCTGTGCAAGTTATGTGAATGTATAAGTTAGATTCTGAGAGTAGAAATATCTGAACTAGCATGATGGAAGGCTGTTATTCTTTAGGTCATGATGAGAAGGTAAGATCCATACCTCTATGATTATGATGAGAAAAAAATGATCAGATAAGTAATTGAAGTTAATAACATATTTCTCAGACAACTCTGACTCAGCATTCAAACTCAGCACTTTCAATCTCTACCCAGCCCTGCTCCACCTCTTGCGTCCCCTATCCCACCAACAGCCCCACCATCCAAATGGTGGCCCAGCACCAAAGCCGGGATGTCATTCTTGCTTCTGTCTTCTCTTGTTCATATAATCACCAAGTTCTAACAATTCTGTGGCTCAGATATTTTTCAACTTTTCATTCCTTTTCTGTCCCAACCTGGACCATGTCGTTTCATTTCTTCCTTCTTGTCTTATTCCCCTTTAACCCCATCGGGAGTGAACTGACCAGCTGTTATGTGGGAACTGTTTTGCAGACATGATTTACCTCTTAGCCTTTCACTACCACCACCCAACATACTTTCCCCTCCGGTCATTCCAGAACTGGCCGGTAAATCAGGCTCTCTCTTACTTTTACACACACATGGCCCTCAGCTTAGGGCATTGTTCCTTCCACTTTCACCTCTTCACCTTATTCCTTCTTTGCTCCTTTCAGAACTCCCCTTTAACTCCCATGGCCCATAAGCATGACTAACAGCCCTTCTGTGACTCCTCAGAGCCATGTGTATTTATCCTGTCCACACTTGTGACAGGTAATGCTGAGGGTAATGCTGAAATATCAGCATGGGGCCCCTGATGAGACAGGAAGTGCAGAGGGAAGGATCTGGTTTTCAGGAGTCCTAGACCTGGGTCCTGGCTTTGGTAGAACAGTTGTGTGCACTTTACCTCTGCCACTTCCTCTCTGTAAAACTGCTTTCTCATCTGAAAATAAGGATATTAAATCTACATCATCTCCAGGTCCTATAAAGCTCGATTCCATGATTATGGCAGATGCCACATAAATAAATGCATATGCTTCGCTTGTGGGGTGTTAGTTTGTTTTTCTTCTCTTCTCTAAACCTACTACACCACCCCCCTTTTAGCTTCTTTCCTTTCTTTCCTCTCCCTTGCTTCATTCTGACTTCCTCTTCTCCCAGTTTGTACATTCTTTCATCTTCTCCGGATTGTTTCTTTGGAGTCTCCTCCCCTTGCCTTAAGCCTATTCCATTTACTGTACCTTCCTTCCATTTTTATGCTCATGTTTGAGTTCATTGATCTCCTTTTTTTTTTTTTTTGCACTCTTGTTGTCTGTGATTCCAGACCCAATTCTTCTTTCTCTACTTCAGACTCCCTAAGTCTGTTCCTCATTCCTCTCCACGCATCTGATTCTATAAATCCCCTGGAGTGGCCCTTCTGCCTATGGCAAGGAATGAGTGAGGACTTTCAGGTCATAAAACAATGGACTTTCGTTCCTGATAGCTGGACATAGCTCTGGGGATAGGCAGAACCGTAGGAGAGAGAGCTGCCCTTGGAGAGTTGTTTCTCTCCATTGCAGAAATAACACAAGCAGAGTTTCAGCATAGCTTTTTAAAACAGACTTGCTGTCAGGGTGGGTGGTGAAGGAAGTTGGTTCAGTGCTTCAGCAGTAGAGGATACAGCAAAACAGTGTAGGGCAGACCCCTAGTGTCCAGAATGAGTAACTGCACCTCCAGGGATTTGATCTTCTGCTTTCAAAATTGTCGTCTGTGGTCTAACTGTAAGCAGTGAGGACAAAATTATATACACATGTGGGTATTTGAAAATATTCTTGTCCAATTATTTGCCTGAGCAACAGTTTAGAAAGGGGGCCATAAATACAAAGCCAAATCTCTTGCACAACTTCCCTCTTCCCTGGGTTTCTCAACCTTAGCATTATTGACATTTTGGGCTAGATAATTCTTTGTTGTGGGGGCTGTCATGTGCAGTGTAGGATATCTAGAGGTATCTGTGGTCTCTACTCACTAGATGCCAATAAAGTAGACACTCCTGTACCAGTTTTGACAATCACAATTGTCTTCAGATATTGTCAAATGTCATCGGGAGAGGCAAAAACATCCTCTGTTGAGAGACACCACTATGCCAGTCTCCCATTTCCTGAGCCCCTCTGGGATGCAGGTCCTTAGAAACCCTTAAATCTAGCCACTCTAGGGAAATGTGAGCCAAAATTACACCATCAGTACCTTGGACCTTCTTACTAGGTGTTTTGAATCAGTCAGCTTTCTCTAACTCACACTTGCCTCTCTCTTCTATATTAGCATTTCATGGGACCACACTGTCTTCATACAAATGGAATCATACAATATTTGTCTTTTTTGTGACTGGCTTATCTCACCATAATGTACTCAAGATACACCCATGTTGTAGCGTTTGATGGGATTTCCTTCTTTTTATAGAACGAATAATATTTCAGTGTTTTTTGTGCCACCTTTTATTTATCCATTCAGTTGTTGATGGACATCTGGTTCCTTTCCATCTCTTGATTGTTGCCAATAGCTGCTGTGAATGTAGATGAGCAAATATATCTTTAAAACCCTTTTGCCTCCTTTGGATATATGCCCACAAGTAGGACTGTTTTTGCTTTTGTTTTTTGAGACAGGGTCTCACAATGTAATTCCGGCTGACATTGAACTCACTGTGTAGCTCAGGCTGGCCTCAAACTCATGGCAATCCTCCTGCCTTAGTCTCCCTAGTGCTAGGACTACAGGCATATGCCACCATGCCTGATCAGAAGTAGGCTTGCTGGATCATATGGCAGTTCTATTTTTAATCTTTTTCAGGAACCTCCATATTGTTTTCCATAGTGGCTGCACCTTTTACTGTCCCAATGTGCAATGGTTCCAATTTCTCCATATCCTTGCCAATACTTGTTATTTCCTGTTTCTTGAAAATAGCCATCCTAATGGGTGTGAAAAGTCTCATTGGGGTTTTGAGGTGCATTTCTCTTGTAATAGTGACATTGAGCTTCTTTTCATATGTATTTGGACACTGTAGATCATCTTTGGAGATACAGTGGTACCTCAGTTCATGAACTTAATTCTTTCCACAATTCTGGTCACAAACTGAATTGGATGAGAACTGAATTTAGTTCAATGGTTAGGTTCAATGTCGGCTTTATGAGGAAATTTGGTTTGTGACCAGAATTGTGGAAAGAATTAAGTTTGTGAACTGAAGTACCACTGTATGTCCATTTTTAAATAGGGTGACTTATTATTTTGCCCATTTTTAAATAGGGTGATTCATTATTGATTTGAGTACTTTATGTTCTGGGTATTAGCCCCTTACCAGATCATATGATTTGCAAATACTTTCTCTCATTCTATAGGTTGCCTTTTCATTCTGTAGACTGTGTTTTTTTGTTTTGTTGTGTTTTGTTTTTGGTACCGGGGATCAAACTCGGATCCTTGCGCTTACGCAGCAGGCGGCAAAACCACTGAGCTAAATCCCTGGCTCTAGACTGTGTTTTTTAATGAAAAAATGTTTTAAAATTAGTCCCATTTTTCTATTTTTGCTTTTGTTGCCTCTGCTTTTGGGCTATATTCAAGAAATCAGTGTCATGGAGCTTTCAACCTTGTATTTTTTTCATAAGAGTTTTATAGTTTTAGATCTTGTATCTTTAATTCACTTGGAATTAATTTTTGTGTATGGTGTAAGAAAGGTCTAGCTTTATTGTTTTGCATGTAGAAATCTAGTTTCCCCAATATGTTTGTTGAAGATACCCGTCCCCCCAGTGTCCTGGAATCTTTGCTGAAGATCTTTTTAGAAAACAGAGATTTAGCTAATATTGTTTTTAGCTTTAGGTGTGGATTTTGCTATATTTTGCTGCTCTTTAGAGATTTTTAAAAATTTTAAGATAAATATAAGTGAATCTTTTGAGAATTTCCATAGAAATTATGCCCCCAAACAGTTAACTGGTAGAAAACTAACTTGTCTGAATTTTTCTCCAGGCCCTCTATTTTGACTCCCTATATTATTAAGGTGTAAGATAAATTAGACTATAATAGGAATGTGCTAGCAGCCATTCCAAAAGTATGGTTCACAAAACCTTGGAGGAATCTACGACCTATGCAGAGACTTTCCAAGCTTTAAATTATGCTAATGACAATAAGACATTATTCACCTTTTTCACTCTCTTGACATTTACACAGCCAGTATGAAAACAACAGTGGGTAAAACTGCTGGCACCTTAGACTTGAGACAGTGAGGTCTCAAGTCTGTGTGGTCACTTTTCTCTCAACACCAGAAACTTGCAGTAAGAAAAATGCAAACTCCACTTAAGAAAGATCCTTGATAAAGCTGAAAAAATGATTATTAAATCTTGACCCTTGAGTTCATATCTTTTTCATATCCTGTTACAAAAAGGGAGTCCACATTGAAGTACTTCTGGTGTATACATCAATATACAGTGGCTGGCTTAAAGAAAGGTACTGTGTGATTGAGCTGGAGCAAAACTAGCCACTTCCCCCCACACTCCATGAAACTTCATTTTTACTTGAAAGAATGGATGGTAAGGTATGATTATTCAGACTTGGATATTTGGCATGTATTTCTTCCAAATGAACAAAGCCGTGTCGCATCTCTGAAAACAACTGAGAATATTAATTGCCAATGATTAGCCTTGAGGTTTCAAGCAAAGAAAACAATCTGGAAAACTTTCATTCACCATGAGCTTGGCAGCTTCGCAATACATTGAAATCTGCTAAGACTAGTACTGCTACTAACAAATATGTGTTTTTAATAATCCTATAATGTGTTCGCAAACTCCATGAACCAATATTTTCTACTTGACAAATATATTATTTTACAAAATCATTCATGGGTAAAAGATTCATTCAAAGCACAATGAATTTGTAACATAACCAAGTATGAAAAGTACACTCATAAAAGTTTCAGATTCCACAATGTAGTTTACCTTTAAGAAACTAGCACTCACTCCATTTTGGTATAGTATTAAAGAAAAATATCCACAATTATATAAAAATGCTATTCAAATCTTCTCTTTCTCAATACCTATCTATAGTTGGGATTTTACCTACTTTAGCCAAAACAACATACTGTCATAGATTAAAGGAGAAGTAGATATGAAAACCTTCTACTGTCAGACATTAAAGTGATTTGCAAGCATGTAATAAAACACCATACCCCTTATTTGGGGGAGGAAGAGTAGAAATATTTACTTTTTCACTAAAAAATATTATTTTTGTTAATGTGTAATAGATTTATTAATGTTTTAAATAAATCAATAACTATTAAAAGATTCTACATTTTTAGTGTGGATAATAATTATAGATATAACCTACATAAACAAAAGCTCTCAGGGGATGTCTCTATTTTTTAAGGATGTACAGAGGCCAAGAAACCAAAAAGTTCAGAAATATTGTGCTACAAATGCTGAAGAACTGAAGGCAGTTCTTCAACAGTAACCCAAGACTGGTCCCAAAGGAAAATTTTTCTGATAAAACAGAAATCATGTTAATCATTAACAACTTCAATGCTGTTCTTTCTAGATGGTGATGGAAAGTGGAGATTGGCTGGCTGGTGGAGACCTTCAGGTGCTGCAGAGAATAAGGTGGAAGGATGGGCTGGACCAGTACCGCCTGACACCTTCGGAGCTCAAACAGAAATGTAAAGAGATGAATGCTGGTATGTAGGCTGGATGTGAGGCATTTATCAACATTCTCTGATTAAAGAATTAAGGATATGAATCAGCATTTTTAAATGAAAATATCTATTATTATATCTGTGATATAAACAGTTTAAAGTTGTACTACATCCATATCCAGGAACACTATGTAGCAGTTACAAATATGTACTCACACAGAAAGATACCTATTTATTAAGTGAAAAAGCAATTTACAGAACAATATATATAGCACAATCATATTTTGGAAAACTAAATAAAAGTCTCTGGTAGTTTCTGCATCAAGAGGAGAGCCGTAACCTCCTGGGGAAGGAGTTGGGCTGAGAAGAGGATATATTTGAAGGAAAAAAGAGCTAATGTAATGATAGCATTGCTGGTGGTTTTCATATTCTATCTTGGGCTTTCATGTATTCTCCAAGTTTTCTGAAATAAATATATATTAATTACACGGCATAACCAGAAAAAGATGAAAGCTCTCAGGAGTCCATCACCAAATGGAGTAATGTTTTTTTGCTTTTGTAGTACTGGGGATTGCACCCAGAGGCTTTGCGCCAAGCTGCATCCTCAGACCTTTTTATTTTTAATTTTGTTTTTGGTTGTTGCTGTTCTTTGTTTAGTTGATTGTTTTTGTTTTGAGACAGGGTCTCCCTATGTAGTTCAGGCTGGCCTTGACCCCACTATGTAGCCCAGGCTGGCCTCAAACTCACAGCAATCTTCCTGCCTCAGCCACGAGTGCTGAGATTACAGGTATGAGCCACTACACCTGGTCTTATTTTTTATTTTGAGACAAGGTCTCACTAAGTTGCCTACACCAAGCTTGAACTCATAATCCTCCTGCCTCAGCCTCTCAGAGTACTGGGATTACAGGAGTATGCCGTCATGCCCAATTTAAGTGGAGGAGTTTTAAAGATTTCTTTAAAGTGAAGGTTTCTATCTTTAGATTTATATCTGTAGATTGTTGCCCTGTTTATGGGCAGAAAGCATTTCTCATGATTATTCATCCCCTGGAGACCTGAGACTGGAGTGAAGTACAAGGAATTGATTAATGCTGACCCTCCCTGAGCCCTCATTTGTAGCAAAGATCCTGCCAACAACTGCTTTCATCCTGTTATGGCTTCCTGCCTCTGTATTTTATCCTTGCCTATGCAATGTAGTATTGGTTAATGGTGTTAACATCCCTAAAGGCCAAGATATATTCTCCAGCTGACCATTAAAAGAAAGTATTTTGGACTGGAGATTTAGCTCAGTGGCACCATGCCTGTCTTGAAAGCTCAAGGTCCTGAGTTTGATCCCCGGTACAGAAAAGAAAAAAACCCAAGGAACACACAGAACAATAAACAACGTTTGATCTTTCTTTTTTGCTCTTGTGGCCAAACAACACTGTGTTCCTTTGACCTTGGCTTTTCTTTCCTAGATGCGGTTTTTGCATTCCAGTTGCGCAATCCTGTCCACAATGGCCATGCTCTGTTGATGCAGGATACCCACCGCCGGCTCCTGGAGAGGGGCTACAAGCACCCGGTGCTCCTGCTGCACCCTCTGGGTGGCTGGACCAAGGATGACGATGTGCCTCTGGACTGGCGAATGAAGCAGCATGCAGCTGTGCTTGAGGAGGGTGTCCTGGATCCCAAGTCAACCATTGTTGCCATCTTCCCATCGCCTATGTTATATGCAGGCCCCACAGAGGTGAGCAATTTCCTGAGCTGGACTATCAGACTCAGGATGCAGACTCAAACTTTCTTTAAAGATTAAGTGAGACTCTGGGATTCTTTTTTCTTCATGAGATTTTTCTCTCTTCTTTATCCAATTTAATAAGGTTTCCATTTTGTATTTGTTAAAAAATGCTAGAAATATCCAAGTCAAACCTATTATACATTGACTGTATAGAGGATACCAAAAGAGGATATGGAGGTTGGCATGTAACAAGGTGGATAACAAAACTTATCTGGGTTGCAGGGCAAGTTGTATCTAACCTGATATTCAGTGTCATTAGTTCCACTTACTCTATGCCAGTGATGGTGAACATATGGCATGCGTGCTGCAGCGAGCACACAGCGCCCTATCAGCACGCAAGCCATCACCCCAGCAGCCAAGCATTGGGTAACAGTTGTTTTTTCTAAACTAAAACCTCAGTATTCAGGTTTAATTGCAGTGTTGGCAATTGCAATTAACTAATTGCAGTGGGGTTTTTGATTGCAGTTTGGGCACTGGGTCTCTAAAAGATTCACTGTCACTATTCTATGCCATTCACAATCCCCAATGATCGTCTTAGAAAGGGGAGGCTGTCTTTAAAAGATAGAGGCCTCCCTTCCATCATAACACAGCAAAACTATCAAACAGATTTTCTTTATCCCACTGCACTAGAAGTGTAGTGGGTTTGAAGGAATTTCCAGGAAGTATGATGAATTGAAAGGGCCTTAACCCTTTGGAATACCCCAAACTGAGTCTAATGAATTAATTTTCTTCAGTCATATCAAAGTACCAGGCCCCTAGCTTTCCTCCCCATCCTTTGTATTTCTGAGTTTTAAAGAGGTCAAGTGCTGTGTTGAATGGAATCAATGTCTGATATGAAAGGTGATTAACTTGTTCCTGGCAGTCAGATGAGAGGTGAGTTTGTAATTTCCTTTAAATTGTGATATGTCAGAGTAGGGCAGGAATGGAAAATTTAAAAAAATAATCAGTATGATAGAGCAGTAAGAGCTGAGTATTTCTGGTATGCTAGCCTGCTTGGTGATGAGGAAATATAACCTCAAATTCTAAGATAAGGATTTGTACAAAAGTGTTTCTTTAAAGCTCCTGACCTAAGTAATGTAACTAAGTCTGAAGAAGAGAGTGTGAAGTCCTAGGACTCACTGACTTTCTTGGAACTTTTAGTTGACCTGCGTTACTGAATTATTGTTAAAGCAGAATTAGAGTCTGTGCAAACAGAAACCAATAGCCTTGGCCCAGAATGACCGTTACATGATGTTTCCTAGGTCCAGTGGCACTGCAGGTGCCGGATGATGGCAGGTGCCAATTTCTATATTGTGGGCAGGGATCCTGCAGGAATGCCCCATCCTGAGACCAAGAAGGATCTGTATGAACCCACTCATGGGGGCAAGGTCTTGAGCATGGCGCCCGGCCTCACCTCTGTGGAAATCATTCCATTCCGAGTGGCTGCCTACAATAAAGCCAAAAAGGCCATGGACTTCTATGATCCAGAAAGGTAGGTTTTTCAAAGGAAAATTATTTAATCAACATCTTTACAACTGGAATGACGAGGCAAAGTTTTGGTCCTTCAGAAAACTTGCCAGTGCATTTCCACATACGCCCAGTTGGAATCAGTCTCTTGAGTCACAAGTTGGTCTTATACATTTTGTGTTCCCTGAAGTTGTAGCACAGTCCCCTGCATATAGTAGATGATCAATATTTCCTTTAGGGATGGAGATACAGCTCAGTAACCGAGTGCTTGTGTAGCACATGTTAGATTTTGGGTTCAATCCCCAGCACTGTCTCCAAAAAAATAAAATCTCTCAAGATGCATGCCTATCACATTAAACAAAAGGAAGTAACAACAAGAACAAAAAATTTCATTGAGTATCTGTTGTGCACTTCCTCCCTTCCAGGCTGAGAATTCATAGACGTAGGCCGAAAAATAGAAAAGTTATTTCCAATGACAAGAGTATGTGCAAAGTAAATATTGAATAGACAGCTTTTGTTATTTCCCTTTTCTTCTGCAAATTCCTGCCCATTTTCAAAGACACGGGATTTTACAGAAAGAAAAAAAAATATGGATCTAAAACACCCATAACCTAATTTCAGGAATCCTTAAGACCGATGTTACTACCTACATTGAGTTCTTTGTTGCTGTACTATGACAGGCACAATGAGTTCGACTTCATCTCAGGAACTCGCATGAGGAAGCTCGCCAGGGAAGGAGAAAATCCCCCAGATGGCTTCATGGCCCCCAAAGCATGGAAAGTGCTGATGGATTATTACAGGTCCCTGGAGAAGATCAACTAAATGCCCTTTGGCTCCAAAGTTTCCTTCTGAAGTGCTCTTTGATTACCTTTTCTATTTTTGTGATTAGATGCTTTGTATTCAACTGTTTCTCAGTGATTGATTTTAAAGTTAATATTTTATGAGGTACAAAATTGTGCGTATAATTTAAAGTCAAATTCATATATATATGAAGATAATAATCTTAGCAGGTGAAAGCAATATTGTTACACATTTAAGTATGAAATTAGCTATACTGTCTACCGAATCTGAACAGGTTGGTCCCAAATTTCTTAAAGCTTTGATCATGTGTCTAGTTTACATGTCAAAACTGGAAGCATATTTTCCAGCTTATCCTTGGCAACCTGCAATCCCAATATCATATCCTAGTAGTAAAATAAATCAGATGAATTCCTCTTCCTTCCTATACAACTGCCCTTCCCCATCAACCTAAATGAGATGTGGATCATATCAAGATTCCTATCATCTTTTACCTCATGACTATATGCAGACTTACTGCCCAATAACCTAAGTGCTGAAGATCTGACTGGAGAAACCAAATGTGTGATAATGTGAATTTAATCTTTGAGATCTATGCAGCCTAAATTCTGCCATGGAAGTTATATTGTCTAGTAAGAAGAGAGGTCTTAATGGTCTTCTGTGAATAATGTAAGTCCAACATGATGATTTTTAATAGCGTAGTGTTTTGATGAAAGGATTTGTTCCAAAGGATCAAACAATCTGGCTATCTTTGCTGTGGTCATTATATCCTACAGACAGTCTGAGCCAATCTGACTGCAGCAGCAGCAGCTGTCACCAAAAAGAATTCACACCATCAGACTAGCAAGGTGCTAGAATAGGAAAAGACCATGAAAACAGAATTCGAACCTTTCAGCTTAGAGGTGAACAAGCTGAGGCGATGCACATCGAAGTGCTCCCTGAGCTGCTGAACACAGTCACAAAAGCTCAAAATCGGCGTTAGAAGCACTGATGGCTCCGAATGAGTGCACAGGCCACTCAACGCTCTGGTGCTGAAGCTCCTTGATAATGAGCCACTTAAAAAGCAGTCTTCTTGGATATGGTGAGGCCTGGGTTTTTCTAAACTCTACTAATACTTTACTGTTAAAAACACTTTTCCAAGGACTCAAGCTGTTCTGAGAAATCCTGAGATGCCTTTACTTTCTGAAAGGTAATCTTTTGTACTTCATGTATAATTCACTGTTGCCAATGAATGTTTGAAGAAACAGCACCTTTTATATATAATAGGGCTCTCTGGAAGGGACCTAAACTGGAAAGAGAAAACTGTGATATACTTCATGTTGTCCATTTTTTAAAAAAAATGCTAGTCTTAGCTAATAATTCTTTTGAGAATAAATTACATACAATGGCCATAGCAAAGTTTGTCCTTTCGTATAGTACTGATCCTCATTTATAGAGGTACCATTGCCTTTTAAAAAAACAGCATATTTATTAAAAACATGAAACAGGATGTTGTGCCTTAACCAAATGTATTTTTAAAAACATATTTAAAACTGCTTTTCTGCTCTACTATGACATTAGTGCAAATGATTATTTCTGTGTACAAGCGATGGTTGCCCTTATTTTAATAAATTTCTCAAAATAAAGGCTGAGTCTTTTTGCCTGCAACATTCGGCGTGGACTGAGCATACAGCTGTGGTGGAGTTTATAACTGTGTCCAATTGGAGACACAGCAACAGCGTCTCTTTAAGATCATAATTAAGTGCCCTCACTGATGTCTTTTTCTAAGTTGTGCTCTGGATATAAATGACACATTCATTTTTTTCAGCGGTACAGGTTGCTCAGGTGCCTCTGTCCAGGATTTCACCGCAGCAGACCATACTTTGATAAATGAAGCTGTCTTCCTTGCTCCTTTTTCACAAAGGGACAGATCTCATTCTCAGAGTGTCCCCAGAGGTTTCACTAGCAAGACTAGAAGTAGTTGCAGGTGTTTTGTTTTCCTCACACCTCCACAAACCTCAGCAGCTTTTGTATTCACAAAGTCACCTGTTTCACTCATGCTTTCAGTGGCCTTCAGGCCTGCAGCTCTCTTGAGTCTGATTCATTCTTGTCCTGAAGACTTAATGCAAACTTTGCTGATTTTCCTCCCAAATAAAACAAGTGTGTTAGCCACTAAAAGCACTCCCCATTGAGTGGAAGTGGAATTTATGGAATTCAACCAAGCAGTCCCTGCAGCCTACAGCACTGTTGGCAAACCATGGATGCGTGCATTCACACTTCCAGCATGCCCACTTGTTATAATACTGCCCTTAGCAAGTATCTATGGTTTCATGTGGTGCAATGACCACTGATTTTCTGACCATCTCCATAATTTCCTTTGAATGAATACCTCTCTCCTTTTGCATAAACTGATATACTCAAATATAATGTGATCGAAAAAGACAGTGAATATTTAAAAAAATTTAAAATGCTACAGTGAAAGGGACATTGCCAGTAATCTCCCACAAAATACACCCCCTCCCAACAAGCCTATCCTCCTGTCACTTTCTGAAGCAGTTCTGGAAGTCTTCTTTGCTGTCTTTAGTTATGCTATTAGGGCTGCCTCAGTGTTCTGAATCAATTCCAAACTTTTGTCTTAGTCCTTTTGACTTTGGGGAAGAGTTTTGACAAAGATTGTCATACCAGAAGCAATATGACACAGAAGTCACAATGAGGCATGAAACGTGTTTCTCAGGCCATTTTCCAAGCACATCATTTCTTAAACACTCTAACAAGCCCTTATAATATCAGAGGTTCACCACAGTGCTCCTGGGTACAAACTTAGCTCACACAATTCCATCAAGGTGAAAAAACACACCCACATAAAATGAACATCACTTTGATGCTGGGTCTTGATGCCTTTGTTTTTTACACAAGGAGAACTGGGTGATTTCCTTTAAGAATTCTGAACCTTGGTCTCAGGGTCATAAACACAAACCCAACTTCTACCTCCCATGATGACACTTCTTAAAAAGCTGGAAAATGAAGCCATACAATCACACAACCCCAACGAAATGTGTTGTGCTCCATGATCTATTGAAACAGGGTCTCACTATGTAGTTTAGTGTGGCCTTAAACTTACTATGTAGTCCAAGCTGGCCTCAAACTTGGCCAGTAGTTCTCCTGCTTCAGCTTACCAAGTGCAGAATTATAGGTGTGTGATTACATTGTGTGCCCAATTACATTATGCCACCATGCCTGACATTTTATGGTACACTTTAAAACACACCTTCTACACCTGTAGCTCACAACCAAACAAGTTGAAACTTGTCACATACTGTTACTAAGGTTCAACACACTGCTTTTCAAATTGAAGATGCCTGCCCTTCCACTGGATGGCATTGGACAGCAGCATTCTTTATACTTCTTGATCACACCGTCTACTTGCTGCTCTCAAACCATTTAAATGAGTGGAGTTCCTGGAGGCTCCTTTTCCTTTTAAAGGGCACTCTAAACAGTTCATTTAATCTAGCAGAAAAAGAGCAAGCCTATTGGCCCCGGGTATGTAGCTCAGTGGCGCTGCGCCTGCCTGGCAAGCACAAGGTCCTGAGTTCGATCCCTGGTACCAAACAAAAACAAAAACAAAACAACAACAAAAAAAGCAAACATATTAATTAAAACTTTCTGGAACTTTCCAAGTTTTTATCCTTAGTCTGGTTCTTTAGTGTCCCTTTGATTTCGTAAGTTCCCCATACTTTCAAATAAAATCTATTTCTCTGGTCAGCTAGAATTGATTGCTTTCAACAGAATTATAATTAGTATTCTTTTTAAATTTATGACCGTCATCCTCCTCAGGCAGGCCTGCAAAAGGCTTTGCTTTACTAGATGATACAGCCATTTCTGAGCAACTTATTTCTGGAATCAATGCATTCTCAGAAGAAGGTGGTATATGCACTGCTGTGTTCTAGTCTCAGTTCCAAGTATGCATGTCAGTGATTACTTGAATGTTTTGGCTTTCATTTTAAAACTCTGCTCTCAATATATCTGCATCCAGCACTAACATTTACTAGAATTGATTTCAATGCACAGAACGTACTACAGTATGTAAGAATTCTCAGACACGTTTATGTAAATATTAAGACAATCACAAAAAAATATTCCTGCTTCAGTGATTTACTCACAAGACTCTTATGGGTCATTAACTCAAACAGTAGCAAGTTTATGCCAATGTTACTAGGATGTCTTGTTTTTACTCACACTGCTAAAATGTTTTCTCTTAGGTTTGATCTTGTGTGCATATGATGTCTGTGTTAGTCAGGAGACCATATTTCATCTGGTTCAAGTTCTCCTGAATACATTTCACAAACATCACTGGGACATAATGTTTTTTCTGAGCCAGGCATGGTAATGCATCCCTGTAATCCAAGCACTCAGGAGGCTAAGGAAGATTGCCACGAGTTTGAGGTCAGTCTGGCTATATAGTGAGTTTAAGGCCAGCCTGAACTACAGTGAGACCCCTGTCTCAAAAAAAAAAAAAAAAAAGAATTTTTTTCTACATATATAGAGAACTTTAACTTTTAAAAAAATTACAGGACTTTATGCTGACTAAAGTGATAAATTTAACAATGAAAGCTTATGAATATTTTTTAGTTCTAGGTGAATGGATTCTATAGCTTTGAGGCACCTCATTGGTGCTGGAGTTTTAGTTATGCAGAGTAAAAGAGAAGCTAAAAAGAAAATTATAAAATGTATATTATTCAGTTTATTTTCTTTATGCAGAAGAAAGCTGTATCACTTGTCCATAAACAACACGATTCTAGTGGGAAAAAAAAATTCCTTCCAGTGAGATGCTGCTATCATTTTTACCCATCAAGGATTGAGACATCCTCATCTAGTTTCAGGCCTGTGACAGACTCTAAATAATGTTAGATTATTATGGTCCATACAGAATACTTAGGTTATTCCAGCCCCTCTACAGATGAAGTGAGTCTATCTGCAGGGGAGGGGGCTAGACAACACAGAAAAGAAATAATAAAGGCAATACTGAAATTGATTCAAATATTGATCTCTAATTTCTGACTAAAATGGCACAGGAATCTCATGAGACACCAGACATCAGAAATCTTCCGTTTAGGGCACACAGGTGATCCTTTTAATCTCAATACCTAGACTGCAGGCAGAGGGATGATAGAAAATATTTAAGCATGGAAATGCTTAAAGACTGAACCTGCCCAATAGGATATGCACATCAGCATGGAAAAGTAATACCATTAATAATACGATAGCTATCATTGGAGCAGTGCCTCTGTGATAGGCACTGCACCAAGTGCCTTACATAATCTCACTGTCCCACGCTCTAAGGCGGGTGTTGTATCGCCCCATTTATAGATGAGCAACAGGCTGAAATATGTTGACTAGTCAGGTATGATGGCATGCACCTATTGTCCTAGCTGCTCAGAGGGCTAAAGCAGGAGGATTGCTTGAGTCCAAGTGTTTAAGTCCAGTGTAGGCAACATAGTGAGACCCACCCTCAAATAAACTAAACAAGGCAACTAGTCCAAGGACACAGTTAATTAATGGGGAGAGTGGAGTTAAACTCAGAAGTCTGATTCTAGAGGCAATACATTTAAAGTGTTACCAAAAGTGAAATGTTTTGGAACCTAGGATCTAACTTCAGACATGTAGGTACGTCTAAAATATAAGGATAGATATTATATAACTTTAAAAGTTATTTAAAATCATAGAAAAATAGTTTTCTCATTTACTTTACAGCCTTAACATGTCTAGATAAGTCCTGGATGTTGGGGTTGGGTTATTTCTCTACCTTCATTTGATGATTAAAACCATGACACATTCAGTAGCTACAACTGGACATTCTGAATTGAATATAAGATAAAAAGAAAGGACACAAGGAGGGATACATTACCACTTCTAATCAACTAGCTATCAGATTAAAATTAAACAATTACTGAAATGTGTTTTTGTTTTTTGGTACCAGGGATTGAACTTGGGACTTTGAGCTTGCGAGGCAGGTGGTGACACCACTGAGCTAAGTCTCCGGCCCCTGAAATTTGTATTAAATCAGAATATGTGATTAGATACTAAAATGTATGCAAAATAAACTGTCCAAATACAAGTTTTTTAAACCTGAAACCCCTAAAATTTAACTAAAAAGACCACAGATTAAGTGGGGAAAAATTAACAAAGTAGGACCCCTTTTATTATAAATTTATAAAATAGTAGTATAATTATTAGAAATGGGACAATTTTTAAATTTTTGGTATCTTGTATTTTGCATTCATTTTTTCATCATCTTCACCCTTCATAACTTGCTTTTTGCTATGCAAAGTATTGTCCTGTAAACTCTCCCCCATCAAAGTACAAGTGAATGAATAAACTATCCAATAGGTTTCTGTGAGAAGCATTTTTAGAGAAACTAAGTTAATACAATAACTCATGAACAAAGATGGAGTTTTCAAATAAATATAACAAAAATGAAAGCATCTGAAACAGTATTTCTGATGATTCAGAAGGCACCTTAAGATTGTGTTGTGCCATTTTCCTCATGCTGTGTGTTTAGGTGCCTGTAACACAATTCTGGATAGTAGAATTTGAAACAAGACAATGTTTCATATGTAGAACACATAACATCAAATGACTACACATATGTGAATTTTGATCTGTACTTTTGTACTTAAAGAGGTCACAATTTATAATAAGCTGAGAACATTTTTTTAAATTAAAGTTACAAAATGAGTATTTTTAGTACATTTAGTAACAGGTACTTAAATTATTATTTAATTTTTGGTGACCAAATTATATTTGACCATAATTTACAAAACATATAACTTTCAATGGCATTTTAAAGACATGGTTACAACAGAACTATTAAATTAAAAGAAGGAAAGACAGTCATGTACACATCTTAAAAGGTGAAGTTTTTCAAACCCATTCTTTTAAAAGGCTTTCAATCCACCTTCATGTAAATCAATATAACATCGTTTAAAAAGTCTTCTTAATGTGCTTGCAGAAGGAGGTGAAATCAGCGCTGGTCACACATCTGCCTAAACAAGTATTTTTATGTGATTATACTTATAACCATTATAATTAAGCCACATATATATTCAGATGTCCCTGATTCAACTAATCAATTGCAGACTGAAAAACACTCAACTTAGAAAAGGCTAAAACAAATGACAACTAGAAATGGCTGAATCACTGTACCTGTTACGATACAACCTTAAATTGTAGTTTTGCTATATACTATTTGGTAGTTTTGCATTCAGTGGTTGGGGTAAAAAAAGGTTTCTGTATTCAAACATATCTACAGAATGTCAATAAAAAAATGTGTGGGCAATATACACTTAATGTACACACATACATACACACATACATACACAGACACACATGTCTAGAACCAGCACCTCACCACATCCCCACTTCTCACCAATGACTGAACAAGTCATTTATTCCTTTAAGACCAGCTTAGATTCTATAAGGCTGTGACAACATATGGCTAAAGAGGTCAAACACAAGCACCCACACTTGGGCTAGATTAAATTGTTCCTCTTCATGATTTTTGACAAGTAGTAATACCACTTATATAACTATATCTCAATAACTTAGAATTCAGAGTATAAAACCATAAACATAGGACACTCTCACTCTTTTAAGAATACTCCTTCCACTCTACTTCTGCTAACTGATAAGAGGGCACAACAAACTAGATCACTGAACTATACAAATGATCTTTACTCTTAATCTAAACACACATGTGTTAAAACATTCTGAAATGCTGCATCCTTTGATTTCTTCATCTTTTCAATTGCCCGATGCAGGTCTTGCTGTTGCACAGGCCGGATTTCATCTTCATCATGTCTAAAACACAAACAAAACCACCAAGTATTTAAATAATTTTAGAACACATCTCCCTAAAATATTTTATCAGGATTAAAAAAATGTATGTGGTAAAAATAAATTTATCTTCAACTATATAAAAGAATATATCAATAAAGTCTCCTCTCATTCAAGACCTCAAAGACAACCACAATTAACACTTCAAACAAATTCTTCAAGGAATTATCTACATATATAAAAGCCATAAGAGATTTTTAAGCACTGATTGCTAAGAAGTAGGAAACTAAACAGCTGCAGAGATCAAAAGCATTCTCAATGAATTTCAGGAGCACTAGCAACGGGACCAGGACCACTGCATACATAGCTACTCAGTGACAGGGTAGCTTTAATGCAAACCATTCTCTTGCTCTCTCTCTCTCTCTCTCTCTCTCTCTCTCTTTCTTCTGACATTAATTTGAATTGAAATACTCCTTCCAGGAGTAGAATTTCTAGCATTTCTTTAGGGGGCCGGGGATTTAGCTTAGTGGTTCTGCCACCTGCCTCGCAAGCTCAAGGACCCGAGTTCGATCCCTGGTACCAAAAAAAAAAGTGTTTTGGAAGCACTTGCCACTGTAATTAAATATAAGAATACCACAGGCAAATAAAGTGCTCTTGGAGTAAAAACATCAGGAAGTTCAGGAAGGAAGACTAAGACACACAGGGGCAAGAGTTAGAGAGAACTCATTCAACACAATTCCCCCAAATATACAGTTTTTCCCAAGAGTTACAGAAACTCTTTGTTATTAATTGATATTCTGATATTCCGATAATTGATATTCTTGATATTCTGAAAAAAAATGCAGTGTAGTACTGATCTACAGCAAGTAGCCTTTTGGGAGACTTACGTGAGGACAAAGTTTATCAAGGTTGAATTATTCCAGTCTACTAATATTTTGGCTGGAATAAAGATGGTACAAAATAGACTTCTCAAGCTCACCATACTTTGAAATTGGTTTCATGTAAATTTTGCATTAGTGACAAATGGTTTGTTTAGTAAATACATTATTATTATTATTTTTTTTTTGATACCGGAGATCGAACTCGGATCCTTGCGCTTGTGAGGCAGGCGCTGGAACCACTGAGCTAAATCCCCGGCGTAAATATATTATTTTTAAAGTTGAGGCCTAGTCCTTAGCAGCCCCACATCCCCTTCATTTAAATATGAAATTTCTAGAAGACAAGTCACTCACTTCTATACATAACGGAATTTACAATGGAGAAGTAATCTAGGGATGCTAGAGAACCCTGCTTTCATAACAGGTGGGCAAGCCCAGGTTTCCATCAGTTTTCTATGACTCATTCCACAGATCACCCATAGAAATTCAGCTTTTAGTCCCTTTCATTCTAGAATCTCCCCACAGTCCTTCTCTTCATTTTCAGAGCTCCCCTTTAGAAAAATGGCAATAAAGAAGAGGGTTTGCTAATTCAAATTTATATTTTCCTCCTTTAAGCAGAGCTGTCATTATAAAGTAAAATAGAACAACTACAAAAAGAAAGCTAACCTATAAATTCTAAAAGACTTGATAATATTAGAAATCAAGTCTAAGTCCACATACCTTTCTTCTGATGTAGAATTAACATATTCCCTGACACAGAGGAGGGCAGCATCTCGACACATTTCTTTCAGATCACTTCCTGAAAACCCATCAGTTTCTTGAGCAACTTCTAGCAGGTCTACATGCCTGTCCACCTTAAACAAATATGAAACATGCTTAAAAACAACAACAACACATGGAACACATGGGCTGGGGATTTAGTTCAGTGGTTTTGTCGCCTGCTGCACAAGCGCAAGGACTCGAGTTCAATCCCCGGTACCAAAAAAAAAAAAACCCACAAAAAATATACTGCAAAGAAATTTCTCTCTTAAAGAAATTTAAAGCATATTGTAATGCGTGGAAAGTGAAACATTAAAAAGTGTTTTCGGTCTCCAGAAGTTTTTGTTAACCATAAAAGCTTACATATTTGAAATCTAATATTCATTTTTTGTATGATGACTAAAATAGAAGTCTCACTGGATATACTGTAAAGTGATGGGGCAGAACAGACATTCAAATGTTGTTGGATTAACTTTGGTACCTCTTAGGAAGGTATTGAGTTGATATGTTTCTATAATATATTCAACATATTTGGCAAATAGCCTGTATCATTAAGTCCAGACTCCATTACAAACAAAATAAAACAAAAAAACTTCATCTACTATTCCTTTGAAATGTAATGCTTTAATATTCTGCCACCTCAACACTAATTTCATATTTATAGTTTTGTTCCCCAACCTAAGCTTATAGTCAAGCCAGTTAAGTCAAAGCAAGTAACAGGCACGGAAGAATAAAATCATTATACTAAGCTTATTTAAAAACTGAGAAAAGAAATGAGCAAGAAAAATATACTTATGACTACCACCTAGTAAATGATCTTTATGTCTCATTCGCTCATTTAATCCTGTCAGGTAAGCACTGTCATTTTCTGGTAAGAATCACAAGACCTGGGAAGGTTACCAGGTTACAGTGTAGTAAAAGTCCAACTGTGGTTTCCCGAGGACAGCTAACCACTTTTCATAAGAACATTTATTTTCCCCAGTGGTGGCAAGCCTAAGACACACATATTATTTTTAAGATAAAAGATGTCAATTAGGAGTTCTTTTTCTGAACTAAAGCCTCGGTGTTCAAGTTTAATTGCAGTGTTGGCACTCTGTGATAAATAAAATAGGTTTTGGGTTGCAGTTTGGGGACTCGTCTCTAAAAGGTTCACCACCACTGATTTCTCCCAATGATGTGAAATGCTGTATTTATTAGTTATTAAATTCCCATCTATAATTGGAAAAGACCCATGTTTAAATAAAACAGCAATTCTACATAAGGTCAAGGGACTTGGAAGTACAACACATGAGGTATACTGCCAGCTCTACAACTATGACCTCAAATGACAGGGCTCTCATTCTTAAATGTGAGAGTCAAATGAAAAGAAAGCACATACTTTGATAAAAGGAACTGAACAGTGGTTTCGCTGCCTGCTGTGCAAGCGCGAGGACCTGAGTTTGATCCCCGGTACCAAAAAAAAAAGAGTCCGGTTTTGGTCCAGGGATTTAGCTCAGTAGTTCTGGCGCCTGCCTCTCAAGCGCAAGGTCCCAAACTTGATCCCTGGTACAGACATACAAAAAGGGCATCTTGTCATTTATTGAAGAAGTTGCATTGTTTCTGCATATGCATGTGGTAAACAC